GTCTGGCGGCCAAGCGGCGCAGAGCTGAGCCGGGAGCAGGGGCAGCGGCGGCAGCTGAGCCGGGCGATGGGGCAGCAGCGGCCGCTCCCGTGCCCGGGCCTGCTGAGGAGGCCGCCGTTAAGGAGCCAGCAGGGCCTGCTGCCGCGGCGGCGCCCAGCAAGCCACGGCCGGCAGCAGGAGCTCCTGCTGCGGTGGCCGAGCTCCGCAAGAGGGCAGCTCAGATTGCACAAGATGTGCCCCCTCATGCGCCTGCTGCTCCTGGCGGTGCTGGTGCGTGAGGGGGCGTCGCTTCAGCAGTGTGGCGGGGCGTCGGTCTCCGCTCCCACACCGCAGCCCGCTGGGCTGTTGTGTGATGCACTCGGGAGTGCATGGGGGCCGAAAGGCGCCGAGGCGAACGTCTCGGCTCCGTCCCAGGCCCGTCCCAACGATGCTAGAGGCCGCGGCGCAGCCTCCACGTCTGTTTTGGGTCAGGATTCGTGTCTCGTGGTTCTGACCTACAATTGCAATTCTTGGAGCTCTGGCTTGAAGTTCTTGGAATGGCGAAAGAACGAGTGCAGTGAGATTCCCGACGTAGTCTTGCTGCAGGAGACCCGTTTAGTGACGGACTCAGCGCATGGTTCGGCATGTTCGTGGGCTCGACAGGCAGGGTTCCGAATGGCGTCGTCTTCGGCCCTGGTCACGGGTGATGGTGCTCTCGAGAACTCGGGCGGTGTGGCGTGTATGTCATCTTCGAGATTTGGCAGCAGTCACGAGACGATCCGTGTGCCAGCTCATCTGCATCATCGCATGTGTGTTCAGAAGGTTAACTTGGGTTTGCCAGTTCCGGTCTATTTCATCTCTCTCTACCTGGTGACGAACGGGGAGCTAGGGGAAGATAATGTGGCGATCTTGGGCGAGCTCGCCGAGATCCTCGCGGGGCTGGACGGCCCCGCCTGTGTGGGTGGAGACTGGAACATCGACCTGAGCATTCTTGAGGCGGCGGGCTGGGCCCCACCTTTGAAGTTTCAGCTAGTGGGCCCGCCAGAGGCCACTTGCAATCAGCACGTGTACGACTTTTTTGCTGTTTCTCATTGCCTGCTGCCCTATGTCTCCTCCACTCGCGCGCTCCTCGACACTCCGGGAGGGCCGCACGTTGCGACGAGGATGGAGGTGCGAGGATTGTCTGGTCAAGCGAAGATCTGGCAGCGCGTGGTCCCTGCTGGGTTCTCGCTTGAGGATTCGAGCTGCGTCGGCAGCCCGAGTGAGGGTCGAGATGGGCTCTCTTGGACTTGGGACCCGGGGCATCTTCCCAGGGACCCGGGGTGCGCTTTGCAGGAGTGGTTTGATTTCGCTGAGCAGGTCTTGTGTGCAAGCCAAGGTATCCTGGAGCAGGATTTTGGCAAGCACTGTGGCAGAAAGCACGGCTGTCGGTTTCAGCAGGTCCCTCTGACCTCGAGCTGGGGCCAGGATTTGAAGCGTAGGTCCTCTCCGTCCACGGTGAAGTGGCTGCAGCTGCGCCGCCTTGTGTGCCAACTCTTGGCGCTTAAGGGGGATGGGGGGGCTACCCGGGGGAGGCTGGTTGGGATGATTTCGAATATGGATGGCTGTCTCCGCACGGCGGAAGAGCCCGAGCTGAAGTCCAGCTCTGGCCTCGCTGTGGTCAGCGCGCTCCGTGATGAGGTCACCAGGGCCTCCACGGTTTCGGCGATTGCGAGAGAGTGCGATAAGAGGATCGCTGCGGACGCAGCGGCCGGCAAGCAGGCTTGGAAAGATTTCGCGCAGGAGTCGGTTCTTCGAGGAGGGAAGGCGGCCCACCGCTTTTCTAAGGGACCTCGCCCCAACCCGCCGCCCCTCTTAGGCTGTGTCGAGGAGGGTTCTCAACCCTTGGCTGGCCAGGAGGCTCTGGAAGCTCTGCTGGAGGAGTGGATGCCAATTTGGTCTAAGCCGTCGCGCGAAGGCGAGACGCACCCTAAGGATTGGCAAGTCGTTGAATCGATCCCGCGTATCACTGCTGAGGATGTGCTCGGCGCCATCGGCAAGTTTGCTAGAGGCACGGCCCTCGGTTGGGACGGATTTCATCCGAGAGTGATCAAGCAGTTGCCGTTAGAGTTCGCGCAGCGTTTCGCTGACATTTTAAATTCCTGGGAAAAGGATCCCCGGGTGACGGATTTGTGGCTCGTGCTGATTGTCTTTTTGGATAAACCGACAGGTGGCGTGCGCCCGATTGGCCTCCTGCCGTTGGTGGCCCGAGTGTGGTCCAAGATTCGGTTTCGGGAGTGCGCCACGTGGGATAAAGCCATCAGCTCGCCCATTTTTTGGGGCCAGAGTAGGGCCACGTCGTGTGACAAATCGGCATGGTTGCATAACGCAATGTCGCACTTCGCTCGTCTTGTGCGTCTTGAGTCAGGCTCGGCCTTCCTTGATTTAAAGAAATATTATGAGAACATATCTCATTGTGAGATCAGGGCTGCTGCGGCCCACGCGGGCTTTCCAGACGTTTTGCTGAGAGCGCTGTGTTGCG